ATATGTCGGGCGATCAAATGTCGGGCGCTCATTTGTCGGGTGCTCAATTGTCGGCGCTCAAATGTCGGGCGCTCAAATGTCGGGCGCTCAAACGTCGGTTGACGAATTTAGATTTATACTTATAAAATTAACTACAATTAAAACCCTTGGCACGGTAGTCATAGCTAAACAATACACCATTATTTGTTTAAAAAAACAACAGACGAGCTTATTTTTCTGTGCAATGTTTGATAGAAATAGAAAGCTGCGATTTTTTCTTATTTTGTAGCCAAGAATTTGGCGCATATTTCTGTAATATATTACTTTAGAAGATTTGCACAAACATTGGACATCTGTCGAATTTACTGCTTCTTTCTTTTTTTTGCTTTATTTTATGTAAAAGATTGATAGTAAGATGACTTGAGGTTTTCTGAAGCAGTGATTCTCATACAACAAAGAATATTGCGTTTAATATATTTACATTTGTTTCTCTGCACTGAAGTTCTGCAAATCAACCCGATCCTAATGAGTTATCGGCGGTAACTCATTAGGTTTGAGTCCGATACCTTACCAGACTCAAACTGTCTGGTTGGAAGCAGTTTTCTCAGATCTCTGATGATCATATCAGAAACTTGTCAGCTTCAGGAAAGATATCGACCTATTAAAATTGACACTTACCAACGCTCTATACAAGCAACGATGGTTCTCCTTCTTTCTGTAATAAGATTTTCTCTATGAGACAAAAACTGCTTATCAAATGTATCGGTTCATTTTTTTTAAAAACCAAAAAGTTTGCAAAATCTTGAAATTTTGTCATTCCTTTTTGTATCATTGTTTTTTTGAAATTAAACATCATCTCAACAACTTACTCGGCTTGTTTGCAAATCAATAACAGCTACTGATGTAACATATTTATAACTTCTTTCATCCTGATTTTCATCCGCATTTGTCTCCCAACCATCAATAGAGACTAGAGCATGAAATTCATCAACGTACAATAAATGTGTTACAGGTGAAAAACTCCATTGAAGTGCACCCGTTTGTTTTGGAAATCCAGCATATTTTGGTTTTAGTGAAAATGATTTTTTCCCAAGATTCTGACAATGTTGTTTACAATCCGTTAATAATTGTTTTAATTGTGGTGACATTTGTGTGCCAGAAATAGCTGAATTTGTTAATAAATTTTCTTTTTGATAAAAATCTTGCATTAATACATCATCAACAAAACCTAATATTTGCTCTGCTAAAACAAATTTTTCATATTGTAGTGTATTATCTAATGACCAAAAACCTTTATAGATCATTTTAACATCGTTCCATGTTGGTCGATGTTTTAAGATATTTCGAATATAATCGAGAAATTGATAATGACCTAAACCCGATATTTGACATAATAAAAATTCAAGATTAAATATACATTTTTCACGTAATAATTGATCATTTCTAATTTCTAGACAATGATAAGGCAAAGCAATTAATTTTCGTTTATTTAATACTGTTGTTGGTTGAGGTAGTGTTAAACGATTTGCATCAATAATTTGTTTATTCAAACGTTTTTCTAATACAATAGTCTTTTTTATTGATTCATTATCACTTGAATATAAATCAATGAAATATTGATGACAAATATCTTTTAAATGCTGATATCGTTTTGTACTGGCTTCAAAAAATTTTCGATGATACCATGATATAACATTTTTATCTTGAATACGTTTTCGCGTAATATACTGTTTGATGGAATATAATAGAGAATGACAAATCAACGACGGTATGTGCAATGCATTCGCTAAATAAAATGACAAATGTTTTGTTTAGTACTCGTCAATTATTAAGAGAGTATGTAGAAAAATAACTTATGACTTTTTTTTAATTTAAAATAAATCTCTTATGGACAACTTCGTGAGATACTACAGTCCGATGCAACAATATAGAAACAATTTGTTTTTAACGTGTTCTGTTTGATCGTACTAATCAAAACAAATTCGAAAAGCGATTTAAACAGTTGAATGAGTGTTCAGTCAGGATTGATGTGTATAAAAGTTTCATTAAAATGTTGTTGACATAGGATCTCTAGGAAACAAAGTCAGCCCTTGGGCCAGACGATAGGATGCAAAGACATCTTTTTGTTGTTCGAAATCTTAGTCCAACTTGATGGACTAAGATCTATCGTTAAACGAATGCAGTTTCATCTAAGAATAGCGTAATAAGCTCGGATAGGTTTCATCTTGTCTAAAAAAGTTTGTTTTATACAACTGAGGTGGGTGATTGAACCCAAGGGCTGACTAGGTTTCCTATATCAACAAAATTTTAATGAAACTTCCATATATATCAATCCTAGCTGAACACTCTTTCAGTTATTTAAATTACTTTTCGAATTTGTTCTAGTTAGTACGATTAAGTACAACACGTACTGGACTGTAACCAAAATTTCCCTACCTAACGGAGGATCATGGTGAATAAAGATTTCATTCATAACCTGATCGTTGATCGATAAACAATCTTCTAATTCGTTTTCAGTGACCCCGCTCAATGAATAACATAGACAAGCTAACGAGTATTGGACAAAAATTTGACCATATTTCAATTCCAATCGTATAAATAATTGCTCTACAGCATCTTCGATCGTTAACGGGAATTCGACAGTTTGTTTTATATCTAGATTTTGAAAATGTGTCCATGTTCTCGCTAAATCTAACAACAATTTTAAATACAATGGCGTTGGATTTGATTGAACCCTTTGCAAAACGTAATCATATTGTGTGGTGGTTAATTGTCGATTCCAATGTTTTAGATATGTTTCAATAATACTTTTACAATCATTTGTTTTTAATTTAGGTAATTCAAATAAAACTGTGTCTTCATTCTGCTTAATATGATTTAAAAATGTTTTTTGTAAATTAAATTGGCTTTGCGATGGTATAAATGATATAATGATAAATATATCTTTTGGTAATAGACGAGGTAACCACGATTCGAATAAAAATACATTTAATGTATTTTCTAATTGATCAATAGCATCTAACAATATAAACAATGGTTTTGGACATGAACGTTTTTTCTTAGAAATTGTTTTTAAAAGATTATGAAATGTAGTGACAAGAGATGAAAATGTTTGTACTTCATCATCGCTTAATTCAGATTCATTGTAGATAAGTGTTAGTTGAATGCACAAAGATCGCAAAACAGAATCGATTGTTGTAGATTCAGCTGATGTACCCAAAAAACGAATGATAACAGCGCCAGAGGGGTACCAATCATGAATCTTTCGTGCTAACTTAGCCATCAATGATGTCTAAAAATAAACGTCAGAGCAACACATTCATTAACAAAAGATCAATCAGTTTAGATTTACTTTTCCTCCACCTGAATCAGCAACCACTGCTAATACCGTTTTTCTACTTGAATCAACATTTTCGATATAATGTTTGATATTATGCATCAGTTCTTCACGACCGAAAAATATTGTCGTTTTTTCTATGCAAAATACAGCATGATGTGTTAATTCTTCGTAAAATGGATGAATTGTTGTACTGTTGGCACACGTTTTTTTAACGTGTTCCAAGATCGTTTGATGCAGGTACAAACAGAAATCATCAATATATTTCTCATGATCACGACACGTGGAAATATTAATTCCACCAGATTTCTTGAAAAAAACAAGTAGAACTATTAACAAAACGGAGGTAAGCGAGTACAGAAACATACCCATGGTACTTTAAAAAGTTTTAGACATGATGTAGGAGTAACATCCAAACAAAATTGCTTTAAATTGGGTATCGATTCAGTCTTGTTAGCATCTGAGCAGAGAAATAACAAAGAAAATATATCAAACTTTAAAGAGACTCTTTTACCAAAAAATTTTGCGTCTAGATTTGTTTCAATTGACTGATTATCAAACTCTCGTATGATTCCAATTATATTACCACGATTGTTAGCACTAGTTGCAAGACGAATTTCTCTTTCGGTAACTAAAACAACAAAAATAGATTCTAAAAAATTGTTGTGGCGAATAATTTTTCATAATTGCTGTGACAAAGTTTAGAATATTTGAAAAATAGAAGCGTTAAGTTAAAACGGAATTCATTAGAAGTGACGACTCTCTTCACAACTCTGCTATTGACAATACCCAGGTCCATGAAAAAGATGTCATTAACGGGCCGTTAACTGACGATTAACAGATCGTTTTAGACCGTCAAGGCCGTTTTTACACCATTTTTATGTCGTTTTACGATTAAAAAATGATTCGTTTACGATCTTTTTTATAGACTGTTTTTTCATCGTTAATGAACGTTTTATGAATGTTGCATTTAAAAGTTTTATTTTTCACAAACTATCTCCAAAATATTGTTTATGGCACATTTTGCTTTTTTGGTCCTTAGTGCCGATTCTGGTACCAATCCTAGCATCACACTACTATCTTTAGTATTAAGCCCAAGACTACGGGTCACTTCCTCTAATCAAGTTCCATTTACTAGTATATACGAGGAAAGGAAAAATTAAGTTATTCGAAAAAAGTCACTGTTGTACATATATTATAGTAGTACTACTATAGTAGTGATAGCAAAATAAAAAAGGTGAATAACTTGTCGACAAAATGGTCTAAAAACGGTCCGTATAGTTAGTTTAATGAAACTTCTTGTACCCAAGATTGTCTTTATGTTGTGGTTTCATTTATGACAGTTATAGCTATCAGATATACCATCATATAGAATCATAAGCTCGTTCTTAAACATGTTCAAGGAGTGAAGATCTTGCTTGCCAGAAGTTTCACTAGGGTACAGTATACAGCATAGACTATGCCTGGACACACCAGGGAACGATCCGCTTTTAGACTATTAACTGACGTTCCCAAAACGGCCGATTTACAATGATGTTAATGGACCGTTTCTAGGCCGTTTTTACACCGTTTACGTATTTTTTTATAGGTGATCGTTAACGAACCGTCCGGGTTGAGCTGGATATAAAAAACAACATAGTACCACCAGTTCCTACCTTCAGAATTTTAATAATTTTAGCACAAATCATACACCTTTGCTTTTCAAAAAGGTTTAAAAAAATCCTGACGAACAGGCTGTATAACACCAAGAGACCGGATGAACTATATTGTATCTCACAACGGAATAATTATGCTGTCGGACGGATGCTCCAACGTACTAAGACATACAGTGCTAGTTACAATTATAGGGGACAAAGGTTCAAATCTACTTGTCTCTGTTCCCCTGACTAATATACAGGCTTGAATAAGGAAAAGTCTATGTGACTCTATGGATTCGAGTGTGCTCTACCCGAATATGAAATCAGATTTGCTCAATGCGACAAGTTTGAGAAAAATATAGTTTTATCAAAAACGGATGATTTTTGCCTAGACATAATTATTGGAACGATATTGAGTTTTATTTATTTTTGTACAAAACAATTTTAGTTTGGCTCGAAACTTACATAGATACATAGAAGCCTACGTGTCAAAATTGAATAGGAGAAAAACACCATTTCAAGCCATTCCTGTGCGTTTTTACTAAAAAAGAAAGCGGCATCTTCGTTGATTCCTAACTGTTCTCCTTCGTTTCGCAACCCCCCGCAGCTTAGAAACATTTCATTTTGAAAGAAAAGTCTCTTCTATTCGCATCTGTTATCAAAAAATTGGCCCCACATGGTGTCTTTGCTTTTGCAGCATAAAAAGTGAACTGATTCAATGTTTTTAAGCCATTTTGGCTTAGTCAGTAAAACTTAATTCTAAATTCAAATCTAGATCTAGAAGTCTATGATCTAGAATTCAGATCATTTTTCAAACTTTTTTGTACCAAAATGTCCAGAATCACCTATTCGGAGACAAGTAGATTTGAACCCCTGTCCCTATAACTGTGACCAGTACTGTATGTAACTTGCCCAAGATTTATTACATGACTTGTCGGCGCGGAGGGAGAGTTCAAACACAGCATCTTTGAAGTACGAGATGAACAACATAAGCATCAAATCATGCTGTCACTCAGGCAGGAACTCTCTCTTAACCCTTTGAGGACCGGTGGTCCAAAAATGGACCACCTATTTTTCAATAAAGGAAAAACTGTTTAGTTTACATTAAACTAATACACATGTAAGGTTATTAAGGTCATAAACAACTACATGGGTCA